GAGAGTTTGACAAAAGGCCACCAGATGGACGCACGCATGAGAAACACATTCCTGCACACAAAGAGCCTCTGTTGAGCGTCTGGACGACCAGCACAAACCGCATCAGACCTGAACTCAAACACATACCAATCAAACCCATCAAACGTAGCAGGGGTTGAGCTTTAGATTGTTTTTGACAGATGTATGCATGTTTGAATGTGATTATTCACTTTCTTTCCTTTGGATAAACAGATCCAGTCCGATGCTCTCTAATCAAGTTGCCATTATTTATAAAGTGCTTTGTACAATACAGATTGTGTGAAAGCAGCTTGACAGAGATCAACAGGAAAATAACAGAATCAATGAGGGAAACTCGTACGGCTAGATAAATAGATTCTTGATTGACAATGAAACTCTCTATGGCTCAATCCAGTCAGGAAAATAAAAACAAATTTCAATCATATAGGTCCACTGATATAATGATAAATCACATTTGAATCATGATTTCTGCTTCTCTAGAAAAACCAACAAAATCAGTCAAGAGTTATGAACCTGGCTTTATCCAGCGTTCAGATTAATGTGCTGGATATTTGTGCAAGGTACATGTTGAATTAGAGATTGCCTCATTTGCATATTTAAACAGAAAACATTGAATACAAAAAAGTTTGTAATTCTTAATGTAATCATCTGGGTATGTTAGGAGAGATCTATTAGTTATTTAAAAAAAAAAGTTCCCTGTTCACCCTAGTGAAATATAAATATACTTAAATACATTTATTTCATGCTAAGTATACTACAGATACATTTACATATTTATGTACTTAATAAATGTACCCTGCAATACCAATACTTTTGATATACTAAACTGGTATACTTACAGTCTGCTAAATTGGAACAGCTAATTTAGTACTTAATGCGCTTTAATTGTGCTGAAGTCCAACTAGAGTTACTGAAGTATACTTGATTGTGCTAAGGTGGAACTATTGCAAGTATACTTCAAGTACACTTTAAATATCTTGCATTTAAAGACCGATATTATTCATATCGTATAATATTATGCTTTGGAATGACACCGTCACACTGACGGCCGCTCGTCTCGCTCTCATAGCAGGACCGTGTGAACAGAGACCGTAAATCTGTCCTTAAAGAGCTCCTTAAGGTAATGATGCGGGACCCGTCCTGCTGGAGAGAGAGCGTTTATCAGTGCTGCTGCTGATAGACACGTCTTCAACACTAGTGAAGATGTTCATGAGCGTGTCAGTTCTGCCTCATAAGACTGAGAGTCTGTCGTTTTATAAGACGTGTGGAGGTCGGGTTCAGATTAGGGCTGAATGATATGACAAAATAAAAACATCTGCCCAGTTCAAGATAACAATTTTGATTGATTTATTTATTACCAAATCGCCTATCACAGCTATGCAGATGATACCCAGATTTACCTAGCCTTATCTCCAAATGACTACAGCCCCATTGACTCCCTCTGCCAATGCATTGATGAAATTAACAGTTGGATGTGCGAGAACTTTCTTCAGTTAAACAAGGAAAAAACTGAAGTCATTGCATTTGGAAACAAAGATGAAGTTCTCAAGGTGAATGCATACCTTGACTCTAGGGGTCTAACAACTAAAAATAAAGTCAGGAATCTTGGTGTGATTCTGGTTTTTTAAAATCATTTTCAAAGTTTTTAAATTCCTTGTTTTATTGTTGTGATTATTTTTTTCTTTTCTTTTATGTAAAGCACTTTGAATTACCATTGTGTATGAAATGTGCTATACAAATAAACTTGCCTTGCCTTGCCTATTATTTTTTAACATTCAGCTAGTCAACTTAAACTGCATTTAACCTGATTCAAGTAACATTCTCTTTATTAAAATCTTGCTAAACCATATTTGAGCCAGGAACTATTGCAAGTATACTTCAAGTACACTTTAAATATCTTGCATTTAAAGACCGATATTATTCATATCGTATAATATTATGCTTTGGAATGACACCGTCACACTGACGGCCGCTCGTCTCGCTCTCATAGCAGGACCGTGTGAACAGAGACCGTAAATCTGTCCTTAAAGAGCTCCTTAAGGTAATGATGCGGGACCCGTCCTGCTGGAGAGAGAGCGTTTATCAGTGCTGCTGCTGATAGACACGTCTTCAACACTAGTGAAGATGTTCATGAGCGTGTCAGTTCTGCCTCATAAGACTGAGAGTCTGTCGTTTTATAAGACGTGTGGAGGTCGGGTTCAGATTAGGGCTGAATGATATGACAAAATAAAAACATCTGCCCAGTTCAAGATAACAATTTTGATTGATTTATTTATTACCAAATCGCCTATCACAGCTATGCAGATGATACCCAGATTTAGATTTTCAAATATTGTCCTATCCTAACAAACCATACATCAATGGAAAGATTATTTATTCAGCTTTCAGATGATGCATAAATCTCAATTTCGAAAAATTGACCCTTATGACTGGTTTTGTGCTCCAGGGTCACATATCATAGAATTTTCACAGTGAACTCAGCTGCCAGTGATTATTTTCATGCATGTAAAAACATGGGATCGACTTTTTGATTAAAAAAACAAACAAAAAAACATTTGTGTTTCATGGTAAAAATCCAACCCAAATAAAAATAACTGTTTATACTAAAACGTTCCTTAAGCTTGTCTTCAGACCCAATTATATCATTCTGAATTGTGAACTGACGTGAGAACATGCATTATTAATGCTTTACTGTCGCTCTTCCAGAATATTAAGAATATCCAGAATAGATTCCTGCATAGATTCAGTCTTCCTGGTTTTCTGTAGCTTATATAAACAGATGAGTTTAAACCATCTTCTCTGCACACTGAGGCTAAACTGTACTTTATCTCTGCGTTTGGAGCACAGTTTGTGACTCCGAGGCTGAGATCTGTACTTTGACTGACCGCTGAAGAGATTGTTATAAAAGGCTGATGTTTAGATGGATTTATAAAACATGCCTCGCTAAATGCTAAAACTCTCGGGTTGTTTTGCACTGTAAATAAAACTGATTATTGGAGTATGTTTTACAAGAAAATACTATTTCATTCTTTACTTCAGAATGCTGTGTTTAATTCGATGTCTTGCAGTTTCATTGTAGTTATTTGTGAAAAAAATTCTGAATGAAAATTGTTTCTACTCCAAATTTTTTCACTCTGTGTATTGACAAATTAATTAATTTTAATTTTTTTTTTTTTTTTAAGTTTCGGACAGATTCCCCAAACTACCTTCATGCTCAAGTTACTTGGTTCTGACACATTTTGGCTTCAAAATAATTGTGTACCTACAATAATCATGGAACTTAATTATCAAATGTAAAAATAATTAATTTAGTCTTTTGTAAGCTGCATTCAAGAAAGTCTGAGGGCCGTGAGTCCATCGGTTTCAGTAGTTGCTGCATCAACACACAGATGAACAACATAAATAATAAGAAACCGAATAAGATGAACAGAGTGTTCTCGGTCTGCTCTGCAGTAACTTCATCAGTTTTCACTGAGATCGTCAGTAATTACGCGCTAGAGTGGAATTTCACTAATGAGCGCGGAGCGACACTGTACCTGTGCTGATTGAAATTCATCAGTGAGAAACACAATCGCTGGAGTTCGGCTCTGTGTGACTCTCACGCAGCCGTCAGATTCACCAGCCTGAGTAATTGAGCTGATCTGATTAATACTGCTGGAGGACTGAATGAGCGTTTCTGTCCATCACACACACTACACTCGCACACACACACACACACACACACACACACTCTCTCTCTAATGCCACTGTGATTCATTACTGGGCTCTTCATAATGTCTGAGGAGTTTCATTGGTCTTGAGATCGCTGTGCCTCTGGTGACCCGCGCAACAGCATTCATTTCACAAATGGCTTTTCTATTAGATTGAAGTAGCGAGGAAGATTGGATTGAATTCATCTCAAGTCTGAACACTGGATCAGATTCAAAACATGTTCCAGTCGCGTGAGATGATCTTACACACATGAACATCAACATGGCAGCTCAGATTCGAAGAAATGGCCAGAACACAAGAGAAGTTGACCTGGACTTTACTGAATCACCATTCTGAGAAATTCATCAGCTAATGGCATTCTGGGAAATGAAGTGTTCTGTCATCCTTGTCCATAATTTTGTTTAATATTTAATTTAGTTTATATTTCTTAAGTATATATACATATGCGCAAGATTTTATTTACATTTTTTTTTACACCATTTGCACAGCATTATTTGTATAGTTTTCATTTTGATTTGGTTTGTTTATTTATTTTTATTTCAATTGTAGTTTTTTAGTTTTAGTTCAGTTTTAGTTTCATTTTAGTGCTTCGGCTTAAACATATTTCAGTTATTTGCCAAGGCAGCATTTATCATTTTCATTCATCTGATTTCATTTTTATTTTATTTCAGTTAATTAAAATGTTTTTAATCATTTTAGTTAACTATAATAAGTCAAGGTTTGTTTTTAACTAATTTTGTTGAATTTCAGTTCGTTTTAATACTACTTTCTTAAATCCAAATTGAAATTCTGTATCCTGTTTGTTGTCTCCATTCAAATTGAAATTGAAATTCAAAAATGTATTTTGTAATTCTAAAAATATGTTTGTGTGCAGAGTCAGAAAATTCCAATATTTGCTCAGTGGGATTGATTTCCAGGGACAATTTTTCAGAATTACCTTATTAAATGTATCAGGTTTTTTTTCATGTCAAATACTTAAATTGAACCAGTTGCTTCATTCAGAATATTACAGACTGTTACCAATCAACCTTAACAAAAGCCCTCTTTACACTGCAACGGTGGAACAGAAGCGGCGTCTGGCATTTGTTCATTTATAAAGCTGCTCAGGATTTACAGCCTACACACGCTCACTACAGGGCTGCTGTGTCCTCACTGTTTATTAATGCCGTTGATGCTGTAATAGTGATCATTAATGTGGCCAGTCTCTTTCCTCACATGAGTGTCTCTGATATTGAAGCTGAAGACGAATGAAAGTGTGAATGTCTTCACAGGGATCACATTTACACGGTGGACATCGAGACGGCCAATGCGGAGGAGATCTTCTTCAGTAAGGTGAGTCTGAGGATAGAGTTCTGTCCTGCTCTTAATTACCTGGCAGCAAACGAAGCGAGCGTCTCTCTCTCTCTCTCTAAGAGCTTTATCTCATCAGGAGTCGCTCTCATGCATCACGCAGCGAGGCCCAGATTCATGTGCGGACCTGAGGCTGATTTAGTGATCATTAATGTGGCCAGTCTCTTTCCTCACATGAGTGTCTCTGATATTGAAGCTGAAGACGAATGAAAGTGTGAATGTCTTCACAGGGATCACATTTACACGGTGGACATCGAGACGGCCAATGCGGAGGAGATCTTCTTCAGTAAGGTGAGTCTGAGGATAGAGTTCTGTCCTGCTCTTAATTACCTGGCAGCAAACGAAGCAAGCGTCTCTCTCTCTCTCTAAGAGCTTTATCTCATCAGGAGTCGCTGTCATGCGTCACGCAGCGAGGCCCAGATTCATGTGCTGACCTGAGGCTGATTGATGGAGATCGATCAGAGCGGGATGTAGTTTAATCAGTCATCGGGGCTTGTTTGACCCTCCAGGCCGTGACAGAGAGCTGTAATTGAGTCCAATCTATCGATCTGACATTGATTTTCTGTCGACAGAAGCTGACGTGGAAGTCCAGGCAGGCCGACGTGGACACCTGCAGGATGAAAGGCAAACACAAGGTACAGCTGCGCTGTGATGATGTCACTGAGGAGTGATGATGTCACAGATTAGTGATGATGTCACAGAGTGATGATGTCACAGATGAGTGATGATGTCACCGAGGAGTGATGATGTCATTGATCGCACAGCCCTGCACCCTGAGAAAAATATCTGCTGATTTGCAAAGAAAGGCCTGATATTACATAATTTGATGATGCTGAGTTCAAAAACATCAATAAAATCTTTCAAGTTTTTCACAAAATATAAGAATGATTTTTTCAAATTATATATATGTGTGCCAGCATTAATGCACTTAGTCACAAAAGCAGCCAAATTATAAAAATTTTGGTTTTAATGACAAAAAGTGCAAATTGTATCATTGAAGTTACAATCTGTAAAGGAGTGGGAAATGTTCAGATACTCCATTTCATGTCAAATAACTTTACATAAACACTAGTTTATAAATAAATAAGCTTTTTTCATAAGATCTGTGATTATCTGTGGCTGTTTGCATGCACTACAGAAAATCTGGCTCATATTTGCATAAAAGACCAAATATTACCTAATTTGATGATGATGAGTTCAAAAATATCAATTAAAAACTTTCCATGTACAGTTTTTTCTCTAAATAAGAATCCAGATTTTTCAAATTAATTAACCTGAAGTCAAAAAAAATAAAAAATAAAAAAATAAAAAAACAGTTTTAATGACAAAAAGAAGTATTTAAAATGCTTAATGTAACTTGCAATCTGCAAAGGAGTGTAACAAAATTTCAAATACTTTATTTAATGTCAAAAACTTTACAAACACGTTTAGAATTAAATAAGCTTTTTCCCAATAACATCTATAATTTTATCATCTGTTTGGATGCAGTTAAAGCTCATGTTTGCATTTTCTTCTGTCACTGGCCATAATTCTGACCTCGAAATCAGGAACAGACAAACAAATAATGTCATGCATGTGAAAATTGAACAAATAATTGTAATCTGGCTCAGATTCAGACAGGAATCATGTGTTTGTGGTACAAAGTTGTAAAAGGAAAGATGCTACGAAATGTTTAGTGAGAACGTGTGAGTCTCTCCAGCAAAACAGACACTATTTTTGGAATCCGCAGCCAAAAGCGTTGGATTTTATTCAGCAGAGATGATGTAATGATGGAGGATTGATTAAGTGTACTGCACACAGACGTGTTTCTCGTCTCGTTCCAGGACGAGTGCCATAACTTCATCAAGGTCCTGCTGCAGCAGAGCGACGACTCTCTGTTTGTGTGCGGAACCAACGCCTTCAACCCGTCCTGTCGGACCTACAAGGTAAGGCTGCTGTGTTAGCGTGACCTCTGACCTCTGACCTCAGCCGCACTGCTCATCTGACATCCAAACAGCTGAATGAAAGCGTGGCAGACGCTGATGATGATACAGTGTTGCTGCAGGGTGTTTCACAATGCAGTTTGTGTCAAAGAAGCTTCACAGAAAATAACAGAATCAGTGTTGCAAACTTCATCAAATATGAGACAAACTCCGCTGTGAAGCAGCTCTACTTTGTTTGCATAAAAGACCAAATATTACCTAATTTGATGATGATGAGTTCAAAAATATCAATTAAAAACTTTCCATGTACAGTTTTTTCTCTAAATAAGAATCCAGATTTTTCTAATTAATTAACCTAAAGTCAAAAAAAAAAAAAACAGTTTTAATGACAAAAATAAGTATTTAAAATGCTTAATATAACTTGCAATCTGCAAAGGAGTGTAAAAATTTTTCAAATACTTTATTTAATGTCAAAAACTTTACAAACACGTTTAGAATTAAATAAGCTTTTTCCCAATAACATCTATAATTTTATCATCTGTTTGGATGCAGTTAAAGCTCATGTTTGCATTTTCTTCTGTCACTGGCCATAATTCTGACCTCGAAATCAGGAACAGACAAACAAATAATGTCATGCATGTGAAAATTGAACAAATAATTGTAATCTGGCTCAGATTCAGACAGGAATCATGTGTTTGTGGTACAAAGTTGTAAAAGGAAAGATGCTACGAAATGTTTAGTGAGAACGTGTGAGTCTCTCCAGCAAAACAGACACTATTTTTGGAATCCGCAGCCAAAAGCGTTGGATTTTATTCAGCAGAGATGATGTAATGATGGAGGATTGATTAAGTGTACTGCACACAGACGTGTTTCTCGTCTCGTTCCAGGACGAGTGCCATAACTTCATCAAGGTCCTGCTGCAGCAGAGCGACGACTCTCTGTTTGTGTGCGGAACCAACGCCTTCAACCCGTCCTGTCGGACCTACAAGGTAAGGCTGCTGTGTTAGCGTGACCTCTGACCTCTGACCTCAGCCGCACTGCTCATCTGACATCCAAACAGCTGAATGAAAGCGTGGCAGACGCTGATGATGATACAGTGTTGCTGCAGGGTGTTTCACAATGCAGTTTGTGTCAAAGAAGCTTCACAGAAAATAACAGAATCAGTGTTGCAAACTTCATCAAATATGAGACAAACTCCGCTGTGAAGCAGCTCTACGGAAGACAATAGTGTCGTAATTCAGCTCTAGTCACTTCAGTGTTGTTCAGTTGCAGTGTTGGGGCAATGCATTACAAGTAACGTAATCAGATTACTTTTTTCAAGTAACTAGTAAAGTAACTTTTACTTTTTCAAATAAGTAACTCCAGTTCCTTTGTTTTTCCGTGTATTGACTGACAGCTCTCCTGTCCGCATGTTGAGAGAAATCAGAGACAGAGACTCTTCCTTCAGTCTGAGGTTTATTCATTCACTTCTGATGTGAAAGAACCTTTACAGTTGCCAAAAATATAACTTTGGGTTTTTTTGTTATTAAAAAACAAGTAAGCAAATGCAGCGCAGTGACAAAAAGTAACACAAAAGTAACGTAGCGCAATTAGTTACTTTTGTGTGGAGTAATGCAATATTGTAATGCGTTACTTTTAAAAGCATCTTTCCCCAACACTGTTCAATTAGTCATAGGATTTTTTTAAACTTGCCCTAAACATGCAGGATCCCTGTGTCAGTGTGATCATGTGTTGTCTGACCAGTGATTGGTAAACTGGTTCAGAAATAGTCAACACACTTCGGCTTTGAGTTCACCAGCGTGTTTGTGAGGGAACCCGAAAAAAAGGCTGGTTTTCATGGTGTTTGCTGTGATGGTATTGGCTCTAAATGCTGTTTTCACATTGAGCGGCTGGTTTAGTCTCTGTGTTTTGAGCTTGTTCAGTGTTTTTGCTCAATTTGGCTCCATCATCAGTCAGTGAATCACAGAATGTTACAAGAAAATATCTGAGTTACTTTTTCAAATAAGTAATGCCAGTTACTTTGTTTTTCCGTGTATTGACTGACAGCTCTCCTGTCCGCATGTTGAGAGAAATCAGAGACAGAGACTCTTCCTTCAGTCTGAGGTTTATTCATTCACTTCTGATGTGAAAGAACCTTTACAGTTGCCAAAAATATAACTTTGGTTTTTTTTTGTTATTAAAAAACAAGTAAGAAAATGCAGCGCAGTGACAAAAAGTAACACAAAAGTAACGTAGCGAAATTAGTTACTTTTGTGTGGAGTAATTAGGGCCCGAGCACCGATGGTGTGTTCAGTTATAATCATAGCGCCACCTACTGGCAACAGGAAATTACTTGTTTTACACTAACTTAAACATACAATGTCCGATCTGCCCCAAACTTCACGTTTGATAAAGGGTCCTGGCCAGAACACATCTTAAAGCCAATATTCAAAAATAATCATAGCGCCACCTGCTGGCAACTGGAATTGACTTTGTTTACACTAACTGAAACATGCAATGTCCAATGTGGACCAAACATCACATGTTTAGTAACAATACTGGCCAGAGGACATCTACACATCAATATTCAGTAATAATTATAGCGCCACCTGCTGGCAACAGGAAATGACTTTGTTTGCACTAACTCAAACATACCATGTTCAATCTGCACCAGACTTCACATGTTTGATAAAAGTCTTGGCCTGAAGACATCTATATGCCAACGTCCAGTTATAGTCATAGCGCCACCAGCTGGCAGCAGGAAGTTTGGCGCATATAAATGACTTTGACATATTCCTCTTATATTTACCACTTTAAATGCATATTGCCCACTCGTTGCTCTTTTCCAAAAGCCACCGGGTGGCGGTGAGCCCGGGTGCGAGGGCCCTTTCATCGCTGCTTGCAGCTTTAATGCAATATTGTAATGCGTTACTTTTAAAAGCATCTTTCCCCAACACTGTTCAATTAGTCATAGGATTTTTTTAAACTTGCCCTAAACATGCAGGATCCCTGTGTCAGTGTGATCATGTGTTGTCTGACCAGTGATTGGTAAACTGGTTCAGAAATAGTCAACACACTTCGGCTTTGAGTTCACCAGCGTGTTTGTGAGGGAACCCGAAAAAAAGGCTGGTTTTCATGGTGTTTGCTGTGATGGTATTGGCTCTAAATGCTGTTTTCACATTGAGCGGCTGGTTTAGTCTCTGTGTTTTGAGCTTGTTCAGTGTTTTTGCTCAATTTGGCTCCATCATCAGTCAGTGAATCACAGAATGACCGGAAGAGAGGCGTGTGCGAGATCTTCTGCCAGCCGTCGCTGTCTAATAACTGGCTCGGTCCAGCAGAGAGAGATGCTGAAGCGCGATTGCCAAAAGCACCACTAGCCGCTCACAGATTTTCCCCCGCGGACCGTCAGCCTTTGGAAACCCTCGAGCGGCGCGGTTCTGGCGGCGTAGTGTCCACTCTGACAGCATGTCTGCTTTCCATATCCCTGGTGCGACGGCTCTGAAAAGAGCGTCTGTTTGAGGGCCAAAGTCGTCCCAGATTAATCATCAGTGTACAAATGTTCTCCTGAACGGATGCTCTGATCCACGGCCTCCTCCCGAGAGCCCATCTGCGGCCGCACTCGTGCCCAGCTCCGAGCGCCTCATGCCAGCGTGAGCTGCTGGATATACGGCTGGTGTCCATTACATCAGCTGTTGCCAGGCGGAGCGGGACGAGCTGCATTACTGACAACAGAAGCGGCCCGTAACCTTTGGAAACCCTCGAGCGGCGCGGTTCTGGCGGCGTAGTGTCCACTCTGACAGCATGTCTGCTTTCCATATCCCTGGTGCGACGGCTCTGAAAAGAGCGTCTGTTTGAGGGCCAAAGTCGTCCCAGATTAATCATCAGTGTACAACTGTTCTCCTGAACGGATGCTCTGATCCACGGCCTCCTCCCGAGAGCCCATCTGCGGCCGCACTCGTGCCCAGCTCCGAGCGCCTCATGCCAGCGTGAGCTGCTGGATATACGGCTGCTGTCCATTACATCAGCTGTTGCCAGGCGGAGCGGGGCGAGCTGCATTACTGACAACAGAAGCGGCCCGTAACTATTTCAGAGATGATCGGAGCGCCTGCCATCACATGGCTGTGATAACAACCCATTCTGAATTTGTTCTACCGCGGTATTCGGTGTTACCGGTGGTACACAGTGTTGGGCTATACACGATTACATTACCCATTTAGTTCATTTGGACAAACAATGCGACTTAATGATAATGAACCACAAAGTAAGCATTTGTTTTAAAGTAAGGCAGATGCAAAGATATTAAATAAGTAATATAAATTATACAGAAGTTTATATATTTTTTACTTTTCTTTTATCATACTTTAACTTTTGCACAACGTTTGTCAAGCTATAATTAAACATTTTGATAAATCTTCCTTTTTGACAATTTCATTGAATTTCAGTTCATTTTAAATCTATTCTCTTAAATTCAAATTGCAATTCTGTTATGATACATTTAAGTCAAGTCAGCTTTATTTATATAGCGCCTCAATACAATACAGATTGTGTCAAAGCAGCTTTACAGTGATAAACAGGAAAATAGTTTATCAATAATGCAAGAAGACAATAGTAAACACTCTAAGAACACTAGCTGCTGCATTTTGGACCAGCTGGACTTATTGGTTTATTAAGTGCGCATTTGACATTGAGAGCATAGGTCGTAATTTAGATATATTTTTAATATATCTAAACAAATGCTAGAAACGTGACTTTCAAAGGAAAAATTCCTATCAAATAGCACACCTAGGTTCCTAACTGATGATGAGGAATTAACAGAGCAGCCATCAAGTGTTAGACAGTAGGTTATTACATGCAGAGGTTTTTGGTAGAATAATTAACACCTCTGTATTTTCAGAATTTAGCTGTAGGAAATTACTAGTCATCCAGTTTTTATGTCAACTATGCATTCCGTTAGTTTTGCGAAATGGTATGTTTCATTGGGCCGTGAAGAAATATAGAGCTGAGTATCATCAGCATAACAGTGAAAGCTAACACCGTGTTTCTTGATGGTATCTCCCAAGGGTAACATGTAAAGCGTGAAAAAAAAACGGTCCTAGTACTGAGCCTTGTGGTACTCCATACTGTACTTGTGATCGATATGATATCTCGTCACTCACTGCTACGAATTGTTGACGGTCAGATAAAACAATGCAATTCCACTAATGCCAACATAATTTTGTAGTCTGCTCAAAAGAATGTTGTGGTCGATAGTGTCGAACGCAGCGCTAAGATCCAGTAGCCCTTATAGAGAAAAAAAACATTTTGTCAGATGTGAATGAGAATTAAATCAGCTTTCGAGTAGATAATACATTATGCATTGCCTTAAACAGCATTTCATGGCATTTATTTTTTCCCGACTGATTTATGACTGTTGAACCTGTTGAATAAACCAGCTTTAATCAGCATTTGTACTGAAGGTGTTAATTTGCTGCCGCAGTCTCTCTGTTCAGTGACTAATTATGAGATTTTTTGCTTTAGATTATTACATGGTCACATTTATTTCTATAGTGCTTTATACAATGCAGTTTGTTTCAAAGAAGCTTCATGGAAGAGATCTTTCTGCACACATGACATGCGGGACAAATATAAATATCGTTGCCCACAAATTAAGAATTCATTCCTTTGTTGTGGTAAATCATTGCTAAGTTATATAGTAATTTGTCTCATTTTAATTATGTCAAAATGAGGGAATTAATTAGTACAGCGTGGCCATGATCTAATCAAACGAGGGAACGAATCGAGTCGGAGGAAGGAATTCTCAATTTGTGGCTGCAATAAATATATCTTTGTCATGTGCAGCTCCGTACGTCACCTATCTGGTTTTTGTCAATAAATGTTCTGTTTAATATAAGTGAGTTTATCATTGTACTGTTCTATTGTTGTAAGAATAATAACGAATCCAGCATTTTCAAGCATTGGTTTTGTTCAAAGAAAGGCAAAGATGTGAAGATGTGACGTTAAAGATCAGAGTAAATGCTGTATTTGACAGGTATATGATCTTGTAAACTGTGTGGTGTAATTGCTAATATTGATGCTGTCACGAGTTTATTAATCGGTGAAATTCCTGGTTTGTTCTTCCTCCCTGTCGTGCTGCGGAGCGGGAATACCCTGACATTCCTGATCCGTGTTTGTTTCAGTGTATTTCCAGAGGAATGTTAATTGGGTTCCTGATACGTCACATGTGAGCGCGTTCGACTCCTGATTGACCCTTCTTCAGATTCGCCACGATAGAAATAGCAAGCGAAATGAGCGGCTGGCGTGAGCGGCTGGTCTTGGCAGGCATCAGAGAGGAAGAGCTTTAAAAATAACACCACGACGTGTGTGAAAGTCTCAGACGCTGAAGGTTAGGGTGGGTTTGACCTCTGACCTCTGACCATTCCCTTCATTCCTGCAGATGGACAGTCTGGATGCCGTGGGCGATGAGATCAGCGGAATGGCTCGCTGCCCATACGACGCCAAACACGCCAACGTGGCCCTGTTCGCCGGTAAGACACCGCCGTCACGTCTGAAACACTTCCATAATGAACGTCTGTCAGAAGAATGTGGGAATACGGCCGGAGCAACAGTCGCTCCCTGTTTCTGGGAAGAGCGTTTGCTGGCAGCGACTCGTGTGCGGCCCCTCTGGAAACACATGAAACTATTGTGCTGCGGTTAGAGAGCATCTCTGGGAGTCCCTCCCCGAAACACAGCAGCAAAAATAACCCTGGAGATGGAAAACCCGCATGACTCATTCCTCCATTAGCGGCCGTAAAACCTTCCAGTCGCAGGCCAGAGAAAGTTCTGCCTTCCCAGCGCTCGTGCGGCTAAAATAACGCCATTATACACAGCAAAAAATCATGTTTCCAAGTTAAAAACGAAGATATTTTACATAAAAAATCTACTTCAAAATGTCATGTCAATCAATCAATGCGTTACTTGCCATTTCTTTGTAATTATTTGTGCAATTTACTGGCTATTTCTAAGAGAAAATCCTAAAATTTTCAAGAAAATGAATTCAGGAAAATTAGACAGCATAAAATACAGCAGGGAATATGGTTAATTATAAATGCATACATTTAATATAACATAATTAGATATAAGGATCACAGAGTGTTGTATTTGTAGTTGAGAGTTTGTTTGTTTTTTGTATAGATGTTGGATTCATTTTGAAGTGTTTAAACGCTGTTGTTTTCTGCTGTAGATGGGAAGTTATACTCGGCCACGGTCACGGACTTCCTGGCGATCGATGCGGTGATCTACCGCAGTCTGGGTGACAGTGCCACCCTCAGGACGGTCAAACACGACTCTAAATGGCTGAAAGGTGAGGTGATTTTACCGACAGAAACACGACCTGCCGTCACGTCCGCTGATCCCGTCAGAGATGAGCTCATCCGGTCAACTCTAGGACTGTTTCATCACTCTTCAAACTTCATCACATTATACTATGATTCTAATTCACGCTGAGATGTTTTGATATCTGAGCTCACAATTGCTCTTGTTGATTTCAGAGCCATATTTCATCCAGGCGGTCAACTATGGCGAGTTCATCTACTTCTTCTTTCGGGAAATCGCCATGGAGTACAACAGCATGGGGAAGGTACGGGAAAAACATCTAGCGTGTTTTCCTGCTTCAGCGCCGCAGACAGGAAGTGGGCGTAAGAAATATGTGAGGGTTTTTAAGAGATCTAGGGCACGGCCTGTCAGGACGCAGGTACTAAAAATAACACAAACAACGAACGACGGACGAACGACGGGCCCTAAATAGTCCAGAATTGACTTCCTGGTCTGTGAGTGTTGTGAGTGCATGACAAAGGCTCATTGTTGCGAGTTCAGAGGCAGAAGATGTGAGATTTGAGAGGCTGATTCAGTGAGGAGTAATTACAGCCTGAGCGTCTCCAGTGAATGTGAGTCTCTCCAGTTACTGTACGGACCAACCTGCCAGATTACTGTAATTACCCTCATACTCCACTAACGGCTCTCCAATTACAGCAACATCTATGACAGCGCTGTCAGCAGGAGGAATATGTCACATCACATTTGTTTCTATAGCGCTTTATACAATACAGAATCAACAGAACAGAATCAGTGATCTATGAATCAATGATTCAAACTCAAATGTCAGCTGTAAAGCAGCTCAATTGTGTCGTCATTCAGATCAAGTTTTGTTCTCATCTGATCGCGTCAGTGCAGTTACATCGATAATATTACTGACTATTAATTAAGGCTAGGTATTGAGACAAATTTCATGATTAGATTTTGATTCACAAGCTTGTAATTTGATTCCTGGATTCATTTGGATACAAAAAATCTCTCAACTAATGCTGTAAACTATACAATAAACCCTGTCACTATATTAAAAAGATTTATAAGCATTTAAATTGCACAGAAGGCAGTTTTTATTATAAAAATGTATTACGTAATATAATGTATTATAATATGACATGACATTATTGATCTCAAGCTGATTTACTGACGTCTTTCTGCGGTTAAATCACTGATTGATCGATTACATGATTCATGATTGATTTCAGTGAGTTGCTCTGATTCTTCTGATGTTCGTTCATGTTTATTTGCTGCTATAACTAGTAGTAAAGAGGATCTGACACCACACATTAAAGAGCCACAAAAACACATTTATTGATTGAATAGTTGACAGAATTTGAAAGCTGAGACTTTGTTTCATATCAAAAGTAGCTAAGATTATTGTGGTTATTGGATGGCAGGAGCTACAAATAATGTTCAGAGAAGTTTTGTTCGCGCATCAACTGAAAAAAGCACACATTTATTCTTTGGATTTAAGAATCGATATTGGTTCATCAAAATGAGAATCGATTCAAATCAAGAAATCAATGTTTTCAACCCAGCCCTATTATTGTCTTTTAAACCAGCAAAGGTGACTCCATCAGGGACAGAAATGCAGAATCCAGGCTCAGTTTAATTCTCCTGAAGCGTTTCTAGTGTTTTTGAGAGCGTGACGTGTATGTAGGACGTGTTTAACGTGTCTCTCCGATCAGGTGGTGTTTCCGCGAGTGGCTCGCGTGTGTAAGAACGACCGTGGCGGCTCTCAGCGAGTGCTGGAGAAACAGTGGACTTCTTTCCTGAAGACGCGCCTCAACTGCTCCATCCCTGGAGACTCGCACTTCTACTTCAGCATCCTGCAGGCCGTCACCGACGTCATCCACATCAGCGGCCGCGACGTGGTCATGGCCACCTTCTCCACGCCGTACAACAGGTACAGAGAATAGCAGGTCAGCATTGAGCTCCAGCAGGCCGCTGGGAAATGTGAGATTCCCGTGATGATGGGAAGGCGACACACAATGCGGGTGTGTTAGTTAGAGCTTCTGACCCACGGCTCTTCTGCCTCACTGAGATTCACAGTTCATAAGATCACAATCCAACCTTGTGTGCCGCTCGTGTCCGAGCAGGAGTGTTTCACAGTTGTGTTATTTTGCTGAAAGCGTGTCTCCGTGTGTTACAGTATCCCGGGATCAGCCGTCTGCGCTTATGACATGGCGGAGATCTCGGCGGCCTTCACCGGACGCTTCAAAGAGCAGAAGTCACCAGATTCCACCTGGACCCCCGTCCCCGAGGAGAAGGTGCCCAGACCCAGGTATCCATCCCATACGCTTCCATTGGGTCTCTACTTACAGTCCAGCTCTCAGTCATTCTCCTCATTCACCGGCGAGACACTGCAGACCAAACCAGTGTTTCATGCACTTTTCAGTCTATTTCGCTTCCATATCAAGTCTCTTCTTTCAGACTAGTGGAGAGAAAATATCCAAAACACACGTTTAAGTGTTTATTGTATTGCACTTTATCTATTTGCATCTGTAGATTTCAATCTTTAAAGAGTTTATTCTCTTACAAACAGCAAACTTTACAGTTTTATTTCTCTCTATATTCTGAAGGTTTCTCTTACAAACAGCAAACTTTACAGTTTTATTCCTCTCTATATTCTGAAGGTTTGTTCATATTTCATTCACACTGATTTATACAACATTTTACTCCTGAAAATATGGTGAAAATGTGTTTGCGTTCTGTCTGCTGACAGTATTTTCTGATTTATGGAGCGATAAAGAGAGAAACCCAAAAACCTTTAACTCTAATATGACAAGAAAATAAAACAAGAATTTTGAACCTGAAGAATTTTGAATATTTATCCAATATTGCATGCAAATCGGTGCATATTTAATTATATAATGTCTAATTTGCATATTTAAACAACTTGTAATACAACACAGCTGTCTTAATGTACTGTGATTGATCAAATGGGGAAGTATGGTGAGATCGATTAAAGTATTTACCTTGTTCACCTGTGCTGTCTTGCAGCTCAAACCAGCATTACTAGTTCTGAAACCATAATGCAGTCAGCAAACATGGAACTCTGACTTATAGAAAATAATTCAACATCTGACAACCAATCAGAATCAAGTATTCAACATGTTCTGGGATAATCAACATAAATGCATGCATTCATTTATAGTCTCAAAGTTATTTAACTTATTAAAATAATAATTAAAGTTAGATTTTATTTCGTTTAATTTTTAAATAACTAATTAATTAAATTAACTACTAAAAATTTAATTAATTAAATATTAAATTTTATTTTATTATTTTATTTTTAATTAATTATTTTATATTTGATTGTATTTTCTTTAAACGTGTTTGTATCTGTTACGTGCACACAAGTGTTTGCGAGCACGTAAGCTGATTAAATCATCTCACAGGAGCGTTTTTACAAAGCGAAGATCTGCTTCCATATGGCTCGTCTTTGTGTAATGATCGGCGGGACTATCGCCTGCGCTGATTAACATAAAATGATGTGTTTGTGTGAAATGAGGTCAAGTGTTAATGAGAGCGACCATGCCAACCGCGTCTCTGTGTAATTCTGTTTCCTCTGTGGTGGGAATAAAGCAATGCATTTCCCATTCAGCAGCAGCGCAGAACCATAAACCTGACTTCAGCCAACATATCTGTCGCAGCTGAGATTCATTACAGTGCTTTAAGCTTGTTGTCGTGATTGTAGCATTGAGATGTTCATATCACTGATGCAGTAGATAGAGATGCTTGATGTTCCGCTGTCGTCTTCAGGCCAGGCGTCTGCGCAGGATCTTCCTCTGGAGAGAAATTCAAAGTGTCCAACGAGTTCCCGGATGAAACGCTGAACTTCATCAAGCTTCACCCGCTGATGGATGAAGCCGTTCCTTCCATCGCCAATCGGCCGTGGTTCCTCAAGACGATGGTCCGGTGAGTCGAGTCGGGTCAGAGGTCCTTCTGCATCATGCATGGAGATTATTGTCATGCAATTAAATAATCGAGTCCATCTTCATAAGCGCTGCTCATTTTCATGGATGAATCGAGTCATTTGCATTGAATTCAGACATGAAACCTGAGCGATTCATGAGATCTTTCAATCAGCTCAACCCTGAAGGAAAGATGACGTTTCTTCCTTATAAAAGCACAGTGAAAGACTGCTGCCTGTTTTGCTATAATGAAATGAATTATGAGAGAATCATCTGTTTCTAGCAGAACGAGACTCTTTGAAGCGACGTCTGGTTTCAGTCTGATAAGTTTGTTCATTTGGGTTTGAGTGAATGTGCCCCAGTAAAACCGAGTTATTGAAAACACATTTGCTGAAGAAGCGTCTGTATCTGTTTCTCTCGTCTTCAAAGACTCCACAGATTTGGAAAGTGTATAATTTATTTGTCTTCTTATTTCCATCTTGCCAGTTTTAATTAGCCTGAAAATGTATTTGCATACGGATTTGGAAATTATACATACATTTGATTAAGACTGAGATGAGCTGCTAATTGGACCAGCAGTCGCCAGATAACGCTTTAATTCCTTTAGCGAGTCTGAAAATCAATGGAAATTCATTGTAATAGAATTCCTTAATCTAGTCTTAGTCCTGTATCAAATTCCTTTTTAGTTTTTGTCATATTTACTCAACCTGTCCTGTTTTTTTTTGTTTAGTCAAGTTTTAGTTGACTAAAAGTCTGGGAATTTTAGTCTAGTTTTAGTCATGCTGCATAATGGTTAACTTAATCACAATTATTTTGCTCAAAATTATAATTGCGATTTCTGATCATGATTGTTGTCGTTTGAGAAATTACATCAGACATCTGGCAACACCAAGCATGAAAACATTTTTTTCATGAAAACAGTTTTTTTTTCTTTTAAGAAAATAGGCAAGGCAAGGCAAGGCAAGGCAAGTTTATTTGTATAGCACATTTCATACACAATGGTAATTCAAAGTGCTTTACATAAAA